TATAGCATTGGGTACTGTACTAGCTACTTTACACATTATTTCAAATTCTCATAATAGACACTGTAGAGGTTTCCTCAGCTCCATTTGACAGTTGAAGAATCTTAGGCCTAGAGGGGAGGAGAGGCTGGCTCAGCCTCCCAGCCAGGTGGTCTGACCCCATAGTCCACACTCAGCATCCATGTCCATAGAAGGTCTCGTGGGAGCAGGTGTCCAAGGCAGACTCCTTTTAGGAGGAGATGAGCTGCTCCAGGTGCTATTCTGAACCCACAGGGGCAGTTAGGGCCCACTTAGCAGGAAGGGCAGGTGGCATGGGGTCATCCAGAGGGCCTAGCTGGGGCCCACCGCCTCAACACGCTTACCTTCCAGGCTGAAGACAGTGAAAAGTTCAAGACGATAGTAGAGTTTGAATGCCGGGGTCTCGAACCAGTTGATTTCCAGCCTCAGGTACGTGTGTCTTCTGGGGAACCTGTGTCTTTGGGGAGGGAGGGGATGTAGGAAGTGGCAGCAGAACTTAGCTTCCTGCTGAGACCATGGACTAGGGATTCTCCTTTCTAAGAATAATAACTCATTTATTAAGTGCCTACTAGATGCTGGGCACCATGCCCATCACTTTTACATTTACCTCATTTAATCCTCACAGTAACCCTATGAAGTTATTCATCCTGTTTTTCAGATGAAGAAAGAACCTCAGAGATTTTGTGACTGGCCCAGGGTCACACAGTAAGCATAGGAGCTGTAATTTGAACCCAGAATCACTGCTTTCTCCAGAGTCAGTGCTTGTCCTACTTTACTAGTATAGCATGTTCGCTTCACAACAAACCTGTGATGGAGGCAGAAGAGCTAGTATGTCATCCCTGTTTCATAAAAAAAGAAGAGGCAGAGAAGGGAAGTGACATGCCCAAGATCCTTCAGCAGTCATGGAGTCATGGGTAGTGGAAGGGTTTACCCCAGCCCTCATGCCCTCTGGTCCAGGGCTTTAATTTGGAGGAACCGCCTAAGTTGTGAGGCAGCTGCCAGTCCCTGGAAGCTCAGCAGTTATTCCAAAACAGATGCTCACACTGCATCTGTCCTCCCATCCCAAAGGTATTACAAGAAGAGGCAGCTCCTTGGCCAGCCCTCACACACCAGCCCAGTGCTTCCTTTCCCTCAGGCTGACCACTGCCTTTCTGTCTCCTGCAGGCTGGGTTTGCCGCCGAGGGTGTGGAGTCGGGGACAGTCTTCAGTGACATTAACCTGCAGGAGAAGGTACGGATCTTGGGGGCCTTACAGGCTACGATGGGGCAGCTGGTGGAATTACCCTTTTGCTGAGCAAGGCTCATCACCGAAAAGCTGACTCTTGGAGCCTGCTGGGCGCACATACTGCTGGACACATTACTACTCTGCAGAGAAGGAAGCTTTGTGCTCAGCCCTTGAAGGAAGGACAGAAACTTCAATATGTTTAGCATCTAATAATACAGCACTTATTGAACTCTTGTATGTGCTGGGCCCTAAGTACAGAACAGGCTCGGAGGAGTTAGTGACTTGCTCAGAGTCACAAGCTGGAAGAGCTGGAGTTTAGACCTGAGCTGTTTGGCTCTGTTAGGATCACACAGGTTCATGAATATCAGTCAGGGCCTGAACTGAGCCTTTCACCTCCCAGTTCTCCACTCTCCACACTGACCCAGGCTGCCTCGTGAGGTTAACATTGCCATTTTATTTCACAGGACTGGACTGACTATGATGAGAAGGCTCAGGAGTCAGTGGGAATCTACGAGGTCACACACCAGTTTGTGAAGTGCTGAGCCCTCCTTCTGCACCCTTGCCCCTAAGAACTGAGAACAGAGAAAGTGCCCCAAGCAACAGCCACTGAGACTGGTCCCCTCACCCCTCGTCTCCTGGCAGCTGTCCCAAGCCCTCATAGTCTTGCATGCTGGGCTCTGTCACAGCTTCCCAGGCCCCCCAGCAAAGCCCCTGTTCATGCTGCACTGGTGCAGGAACGTGGGCTTGGGCAACGGCCACTTCCACCACAAACAAGAATGCACACAAGAGGTCTCTGACTGCTCCCTGGCACCTTCCCACAGTTCAAAACGCTACACCTGATCCATCTTGTAAACTACTCAGGAGCACACTGCTTCTAAGGGTTCTCCGGCTTTGGGGGACCAGCAGGCTAACCCAGAGGACCAAAGATGTTG